TAGGCAGAGGGAACAGGCAGTGCAAAGGCCCTGAGGCAAGGTCCAGGTTGTATGCTGAAGGGACAATGAGGAGGCCAGTGTGACTGAAGCAGAACAAGCAGGAGGCAAAGCGATGGGAAGCAATGTCAGAGAGGGAGCAGGGAGAAATAGCATACAGGATTACTGTCAGGAGGCTGGATTGTATTCCATGCATAAAAAAACAACTATTGCCGGGTTCTGAGCAGAGGAGTGACACTATCACATTTCAGGCTTTAACAGGACGTCCCTGGTTGCTGGAGTTGGGGCGGTTAGGGTAGAAGCAGGAAGACCGGCAAGATGGCTGCTGCAGTTGTCCAGATGAGAGAGTCTAATCTACATCAGAAGGAGCCACCAGAAGAAATGAGTTTTGTGTCACTGAAAGTGTTCGCAGAGCGGCTGGAAAACCTGGCAGGAAGACTGAAGACCATACTCAGGCACTGGCTGGGCAGGTGAACCACGGGATAGTACCACAGTCCCACCCTGATTTCCTGCCCTGCCCTGCCAGTCAGGCAGGTGAGAGATTTTGCAGAAAATTAGGCCTACGCCATCCTACACATAGCCTTTCCATGTCACTGGCATCTGTGAAGTCACCTAGCAGCACGCGCATGTGACATTCCCAGGGAACTGTCATCGCACCTCACCTAGGCCTAGAGTTGCGACTCAGTACATTCATGTGATTATTCACATCTTGTCAGCTTCCTCCACTAGATATCAGCTCCACGGAGCCAGGGCCCTTGTTTCATGCTGACTTGAATCCCAGCACTGAGCACAGTACCTGGCACCCAGGGACCCAATAAATAACGAGTCCATGAATACTGTATGAGCAAATCTGGTCTTAGTGACAACAAAGGAAATAGGACCACAGGTTGGCGTTGCAAAAAGGTACCACCAGATGACAGTGTTTCTCAAAACAAAGGCCACCCCACTTTCCGAGTAAAGGAGAAATTCTAGCTTATCAGTGGAGCTAACAAAGAGCCGGGGTGATGAGAGGTTTGAAGGTTGCTTGTCCAGCCCTGAAGAGCCAGATAACATCGTGCCAGCTGAGCCTGCTGGAGCCAGTCTGAATTTCCCACAGTCCCCTTGGATCCCTCTGCCCCTACTCAGACAGGCCCAGGCTCGTCAGGAAAAGCCTTTCTGGACAATCCAAATCCTGCCTTCTTCTCTGAACCTCTGCCCAGCCCCCTGACCAACCATCTTCCCCACTGTCTATCAAAAGAATTTTTCTGAAATACAGTTCTGGCCTGTCACCTGAAATCTTTCAATGGCTCCTGTATCCTACCGAGGTGGTTCACAAAAGGTCTTTTTTAACAGTGGAACAGAGAGACCCCCGAGCCTAGTGGCTAAAAATGTAAGTGTCCCTGCAACACAACCTCAGTCACTCACTCTGTCCTCCTCCTATTTAACGTCTCAGCAGCCTTTTACTTTGAGTTCCCGGAAATGCATGGTCTCCCACAGCTCAGTAGCGGGCAGCCGTGATTTCTACCCTCCCAGCTTCCTTACCTCTATGCGCTGGTCACACCACCTCCATTTTCCTTTGAGGAACCGACCCTCCCCACTCTCAGTCCATGTGGTTCGGATAGAGCTGAGCTCACCCTCTCATTCCTGGCACGGGGCATGTGACCCAGACATGGCTAATTGACATCTTCCTTCTCCTAGGCTCAGTGATCAATTGGATCATGGATGTGCATGTAACCCACACTGGGCCTGTGATAACCATCCCTAGGATTTGGAAGAAATGGGTAAAGGATGCTCTCCTTCTACTAGGGACACCAGTTTGGAGCTACCGGGTACTACCTTTGCCACCATTTGGTGACAGCATGCCTGAGAATGAAGCTAACACGAGGAGAGATGAAAGGTGGAAAGAAATAGAGTCCTGATGACATCATCCTTGGAGACCCTGGATCCAGCCATGCCTGAAACCAGAATCCATGGATTGTTTTTCAGTTGCCTGAGTCAATGAATTTCCTTGTTAGTTTAAGTCAATACTAGTTGTGCCACAACCCTAAGAGTACTGACTAATACAACAAATACGTAAGAGTATAAATGGGGATTTTGATCCTCACAGGGTTGAAGTGAGAATTAAAGAGTATGAAATACATAGAAACATTCAGTAAAGAACTTGAAAAATGTGAAGTAATGGTGTCCATCCTTTGAGGCCTTCCCAGTCACTCCAACATCACCCTCTCCCTGCCTCCGCCCCATCTTCGCCCACCATTTCCAAGCCTCGTCTTGCTCTGACTGAAATTGTTTATTTCTTTCACGGCTACCCTGTCTCTCAAAAACTAGACTATAAGCTTGAGGGGGACCAGCCTCCATGCCTTCTTGCTGAGCTGGGCACACAGTGGGTGGCCAGCAATGTAACTGAACTGACTGTGGGCAATGTCAAGTGCGCCTCTTCCACCTGGAGACTCAGTTTCCCTTTCCTAAATGCTTAAGTCCCTCCCACCCTTGAGCAACCAAATAATATTGTGATCTGGAGCCAGACTGCTGGGGTTCAAATCCCGGATCTGCCGCTGAAGAGCTGTGCAACTATGAGCAGGTCACTACCTCTCTGTGCCTCAGTTCCTCATCTGTAAAATGGACAAGAAGACACTATTCCATAGGATTGTTATGAGGTCTGAAGGAGACAATTTATTTAAAGTACTTTAGACAGTACCTCCCTGGCACATGGTAAGTACTCAGTAAATGTTAGGGGTTTTTTTGTTTGTTTGTTTTTTTAAGTCATTCTCAATATCTCTCTCTACCACAATTACTGAAGTCAATGTTGTGCCCTAAATCACTCATGAATAAAACATACTTCTCTCCATATCTCGCCTCCTAACTGGTCCCCATGTCCAGGGAGGCTCCATGCCCACCAACCCAAGCACTTTACGCAGAGGAGCTGATAACATCGTGTGAGTCTGTGGACGAAGGTCAGACCATGGGAAAGTATCACGGATCCATCTGCCTGGTCTCCTCCACGTGCTGGAGCAGGGGAGCCCCTCCAGGTGCAGCCCCACACTCCGAATGTCCTCACGGCTGCACACGCTCTCTGCACCCAAAACAGGTGAGCACAAAAGTGTTCCCAAGATGGTCCTTGTGCACGTTTATTCTGGGGGAGTCTCATTTGCTATGATTTGGGAAGACACCCCCCAGATTACTTTTTCCTCTTCCTGCTGCCTGATTTTCCACCATTAGGCATTCAAACTCGTTGGAAGCAGCAAGGTACTAAAGACGTGACTCAGACCTGGTCCAAAACCTGCTGGATCACCTTGGCTGGCCAAAGCCCTCTCCTCTCTGAGCTCCGCTTTCCTCATCTGCTAATGGGGACATTATTATGTGTGAGAACCCCAGAACGATGTGAGAAAGTAATCAAGTTTGATGAGACACCCAGCCCAAAGTTGGTAAGTGATCAATAAATGTTGGGTCCCTTCAATTTTGAGTTTTTAAAAATTGCCCCCTCTTTTAAATGTAAATGCCTGAAGGACCACTGATATCACAGCGTAGAAGTGCCCAATCGCTGTTCCCCGCCCCCCACAAAGGAAAGTTGGATCATGTCCACTTTACAATGGGACAGAATTTAGATTTCTATCTCCAGTGGGAGTGAAAATCTTATTCCTGGGATTTAAAAAAGACAAAGTCCTCCCCACCAGTGACTCAACAAAAGCAGCTCCTGATTTCAGAGCCCGGTGGGTTCTGCTCTTGGCATAGGTCTTTATAGGGAATGCTTAACGCCATCTGGCACGGGGAGCTGCATAGGCATCAGGCCCCTCCGCCTCCACCTACCTGCCTGCCCAAGTTTTAGCCTGCTCCTCGTCCCACCCCACCCCAGTTCCTCTGCCCCTCCTGGACCACCCAGCACGGGTCCTCACACCCCCTCAGCATCCTTCCACTCCAAGCCCTCTCCAGCCTTCAGCGTTTCCCTCGGCCTTCTCAGAATCCTCTCCATTTACCTTGTGAACCCCCTGCCCGCAAGGTAGCGTGTGTGCCCACTCCTCCCTCACACCCCTCCAGGCCTCACGCCCTTCCCCCAGCTAGAGTTGCCAGATAAAACACAGAACGCCCAGCTAATTCTGAATTTTAGAAAAATAAGCTGTAACTTTTAATGTAAGTATGGCCCGTGCAATATTTAGGACGTGTTTATACTAAAAAATTATGGGTCGTTTATCTGAAATTCAAGTTTAAGTGGGCACGGCGTATTTTTATTTGCTATATGTGGCACCCTACCCCAACCCGAGCACCCTCAACTCTCTCGCAGCCCTCCATGCCCCACGTGTCCCTTTCCTGCAGGTGTCCTGCGTCTCTCACCGGTCCCTAGCTGGCGCGCCTCTTCCCCCTCGTGTCCTGCGCGTCCGCATCCCTCGCTCGCCCGCGCGCGGCTCCGGCTCCAGCCCCAGGACCCCCTCTGCGGGCGGCATCCTTCCCTTCCCCACCTCACGCCCACACCCTCCGCGCGTAGCGCTCCGCCCGCACCCCAGGCTCCCGGGGCCTCACCTGGGCAGGCCCGCGCGTAGTCCGCGCAGCAGTCCCGCACCGCGCCGCACGCCTGGTCACAGAAGCAGCGCGGGGGCCCGCGGGCGGCGCAGGTCAGGTCACGGCCCGGGCAGCAGCGGCCCAGCGCGGCACAGCCCTGTCCAGGCCACAGCGTGCCCGGCGGGCCTCCCGCCGGGGACATCGTGGCCACTGCGGCCAGGGCGAGCGCCAGGGGCAGGATCCCCGCCGCTCCGCTCCTGGCCATCACCGGGCTCAGGCTCGGGACCGGATGCCGACAGGAATCGACACTAGGGACCCGCCCCACATCGGGGCGGAGGCTCCCCGCTCGACCCCTCCCCTACCTGTCATGGAACTGAATCCACCTCCATTCGTCCCATCCAAACTTTGCATAACTAGTGGTGGTGAAATATCAAGATAACGGTAATGATAACCGCAACAACTTTGCGGGGGTTCTCCAATGCCCCTAGGTTCCAGAGAAATAGAGGTGATACAAAAGTTCATCAAAGCAATATATTATAATAGAAAACAATTCTTATATATTGTTATAACGATAACAGCAATAGTCACTATATCATACTTATAATAACAATAACACTAACAGTAGATGCCAATATTATTAAAATAGTAATAATAGCCATAATAATTGTCAGGTAATGCGCCAGGGAGTCAGGCTGTGTACCAGGCTCCAGGTGTGGCATTAGTATTGGCCAAAGCTGAGTTCCTTATATACACCTTCGGTTTTTGCTGTATTCCTACCACTTTGACTGTCATTTCCTAAATATTCCTCTTTAAAAAGACTCATTTTTTTAAAATTTAAAATAATGTATTTGTTACAAACCTGTATCACTGAAGAGAATGAGAAGACAAGCCCCAGACTGGGAGAAAATATTCGTAAAAGATATATCTGATAATAGACTGTCATCCAAAATATACAAGGAAGTCTTACCACTCAACAAGAAAATGAACACTGTGATTTAAAACAATGGGCCAAAGACCTAAATAGATACCTTGCCAAAGAAGATATACAGATGGTAAATAAGCATAAGAAGAGATGCTCCACATCATATATCATCAGGGAAATGCAAATTAAAACAATGAAGTACTACATGTGTATTAGAATGGCCAAAATCTGGAACACAGACGAACCAAATGCTGACAAGGAGGTAGAGCAACAGGAACTCTCATGCTTTGCTGGTGGGACTGCAAAATGGTACTGCCACTATGAAAGATAGTTTGGCAGTTTCTTCCCACAGGAACTCTCATGCTTTGCTGGTGGGACTGCAAAGTGCTGCCACTATGAAAGATAGTTTGGCAGTTTCTTCCAAAACTAAATATACTCTTACAATAGAATCCAGTAATTGTGCTTCTTAATGTTTTCCCAAATGACTTGAAAACTTACGTCCACACACAAACCTGCGCATGATGTTTATAGCAGCTTCATTCACAATTGTCAAAACTTGGAAGCAACCAAGACACCTCTCAGTAAATGAATAGATAAGCTGTGGTCCATCCAGACAATGAAATATAAGTCAGCACTAAAAGGAAATGAGTTGGAGGGAGAGGGGAAGTAGACAGGGGGAAAAAATTTTAAATCATTTCTTCAATTAAAAATAAATCAATAAACCTTTCTACCAAAAAAAATAAAATAAAATAAAAATAAATGAGCTATCAAGCCAAAAAAAACACATGGAAGACTCTTAAATGCATATTACTAAGTTCAAGGAGCCAATCTGAAAAGGCTATATACCATATAATTCTAGCTATAAGACATTCTGGAAAAGACAATACCATGGAGACAGTAAAAAGTAAAAAGATCAATGATTGCCAGAAGAAAGAAGGGATGAATAGATGGAGTACAGGATTTTTAAGGCAGTGAAAATACTCTGTGTGATATTATAATGATGGATATACGTCAGTATACATTCACCCAAACCCATAGAATGTACACCGTCCAGAGTGAACTTGAATGTAAACTGTGGACTTGATGTGTCAATGTAGGTTCATCTGTTGTAACTGATGTCTCCCTCTGGTGAAGGGAAGTTGATGTGGGCCAGGGGGTATATGGGAACTCTCTGTGCTTTCTTCTCAAATTTACTGTGAATCTAAAACTGCTCTAAAAAGTAAAATCTATTTAAAAAGAAAATAAAAGTTATCACTATATAAATGGAAAGCCAATAATATTTTTCATAAATAAAAGGAGAAGGAAAGGTAGAAAGACAGAGGGATGTATTTATGTATGTAGATATATACATGCATAATTGATTTACCAATGTTTTAAACTACCAAGAAGGAGGAAAGAAGAAGGAAAGATAGAAAGACAGAGATAGAGAGAGGAGGGCTCTATTGATGTAAGGGTCAAGGCAGAGCAGGCAGCCACTCCTAACCATGGCATGTCCCTGAGCTGTCCCCATGACAGGCCCTGCAGCCTCCCGTAGTTTCCAGCCTTCTTTATCTGGTTTCTCTCTGTTATTTCAGGTTTGGAGCCTCCAAGTAACTGGTGACCCAGTTCCCAGAAAAATCTCCCTTGCTGTCCTTTTGTAAGGGCCCTGGGGACTGTGGGACTCTTGGCAGATGCCACAGCTGTGGGCACAAAGAGAAGCTTATTCTCCTCTGAGCAGGGAGAGAGGGCCCATCAGAATGCAGTTTGGTGTCCACATGAGGTTGGGCACCCCTGTCTCCATGGGTCTGGGTTGCAGGGCACTGTGCTCTAGGTGGGAGCAGGGGAGCTGATCAGTCTTTCTTAACCGTTCGTGTCTCCATCTGTTATTTATTGTTGCGTAATAAACCACCCCATAACTTAGAGGTTTAAACAACAATTTATTATTATCTCTCGTAGTCTTATGGGTTGACTGGGCCCAGCTGGTGGTTCTTGCTTGGGTGTCTCTCATGCAGTTGCAAGCGGAAAGCAGCTGAGGCTGAAGTCATCTCAAGGCTTCATTGGGCTGGATGTCCAAAGTGGCTTCTTCACTCACTCATCTGCTGCCCCAACTGAGATGGCTAGAATAACTGGGGATTAGTCGGCCAGTTAATCAAGTGCCCCAAAACACAGATCTGGGCCTCTTCTCTCTATATACTCTCCCTCCATCTTAATGATCTCAACGTGTCTCATGACTCTAAACTGACTTTAAGCTAACAAGTCCCGGATTTGTCAGCTACATGCAATCTCCAAATGCCTACCCCACGTCTCTCATTGGATGAAAGGGTCCTCAGTGTTAGCATCTCTAAAAACACCTTCTACCCACTGCTCCCAGACACTTCACTAAAGAATATATGGGAACAGCTAATAATTGCATCTAAAAGGATGCTCAGTACCGTTAGTCACTAGAAAAATACAAGTGGAAATCACAGTGAGGTACCATTACACATCCATTAGAATGTCTAAAATTAGAAAGACTGATTATAAGTGCTGGCAAGAATGTGGAGCACGCGGAGCTCGCTCTCATATGCCGCCGGAAGAATGCAAGATGTGGTAAACCACTTTAGAAAACAGTTTGGTAGTTTCTTCAAAAGTTAAACATGTACCTACCACGTGATGCAATGCAGGCATTCACCCAGGAGATACTAAAACATTTGTCCACACAGAGACTTGGACACAAATGTTCAGAGCAGCTTTATTTGCAATCGCCAAAAACTGTACCTCCTCCTCCCCCCTCAAAAAAAACCCCCACAAAACTGTAAACCTCAATAGTTCATCAATAGATGAATGGATAAACAAATTGTGGTACACCATACAAAGGGATACTCAGCAATAAAAAGGAACAAATTATCGATGCCTGTGACAAGGATGGGGTCTCAAACCCATTATGCTGCGTCAAAGAAGCCAGCCCCCACCACCCGAAAAGTGAGCATGTACTGTAGAATTCTGTTGATATACATTGTAGAAATAAAAACTAATTTATAGTGACAGAAGTAGGTTAGTGGTGGAGGGAGGGAGGGAAGGATGGAGGGAGGGAAGGAGTCGGGAATTGCAAAAGGGCCACAAAGATGGATGAAGGATTTGGGGAGTGATGGGTATGTTCACTATCTTCATTATGGTGAAGGCTTCATGAGTGTATACATACATCAAAATTAATCAAATTATACACTCTAAATATGTGCCATATAGTATACTTCAATTATACCTCAATAAAGTTGGAAAAAATTAAAAGACAAAAACAAAGAAAAAAGACACATGTTTGAAAGAATATACACTAAACGATTAATAATAGTTACCCTACACACAGCTTTTGAGTTTAAATTGTTTACAATAAGCATATATTACTTAAGAATTTAAGAAAAAGCAATACATTTTATTGGTCTCTAGCCTCAGTCTAGCACTGGAGAGGTCTGTCGCATGCCCCGAAACAGACCAGGTCATTCTGCTAAACAAAGACACCTCCTGGATTTGAGCCAAGGGTTTTGGGGGACAAATTCCCATCCGAAGACAATGAAAACTAGGCTCTCTGAGAACAAGGGCTTTCTTTACACCTTGTATCTACATTCCAGACTGGGGCCCACACGGGATGATTGCCCGGGAAGATAATGCAGTTATTAATCTCTGCCCAAGACTGAGCTCTCCCTGCCAACTTCCCACCTGGGTGATTAAACCAGATGGCAGCCCCGGGGTAGTTTCTACAGTGTCTTTGGGGCAGAGGGACAGGGCACCTCTGGAAGCCAGACTTGGCTTCTCTAGAGGATCAGTCTCCTGGGTGACTTTAGAACAAGCAAGCTGAACCCAGTCTGGGGTCCTGGATCTTGACTTGGCTGGGCCAAGACTCAGGCAAACATGGACCTCTTGGCATATGAGGGGCTGGAAACAGCTGTCTGAGCTTCTGTGTTTGTGCGGTTGCCCATGTATGTGCTTCTCTTTTTCCTAATCTCACCCTAAACATTGGTTCCTTAAATGCTGCAGGAATTGGCTACCCTGCAAGTAGTCCACATTTCACCCCAAACGTCTTCCTTCCTCAATAACAGCATCAAGATGTTTCAGGGGAGTGCTGCCTTGCCCTGCCCCCAGACCCGGAAGGTAAATCTCTTTTTTTTTAATGCCTAATTTAGTGGAAGGTGGTACCTGCACCTATGTGAGGAAACGTAAGTAGCTGAAACTCATTCCTAACTGGGTTTGGAGATATCACTTGAATTAAACCTTTTGGTATTAAGAATTAGCTTGGCAACATGCGGCTTTTCTGTTTGTATTTTTTAGATTTTTTAATTTAGTTTTTATTCCCAACTCCCACCCTGTTCCCTGTGGCAACCATCAGCTTA